AGTGATACTGCCTCGGAAACCCCAAGAGGGCTTGCTGTGAGTCAGATCTGACTCCACGGCAGTGAGTTTGGTTGGTTTTTATAAACTTTTGACCAGTTTTATCTCAAATCCCGCGTTAGTCCCGTCCCTTCCCATGCCATTATTACAGAGACCATTTGGATAAAGCGCCGACTGAGCAGCCCCCTGAGCTGTTCCTGTGCCTTCACCTTGGAGCCAGTGCACTACAAATGCTGTTTGTGAAGTTTTAAAGTACTTTTCTTTTCTTTGCACGTTGCCTTCTTCCCGCCGCTCCACCACACTCCAGGAGTAAAGGCATGCATTCAGCAGCCATCCCAGGCTGCACTGTTTTCATGTGGCTCAGTTGTTGAATAGTTCATATATAAAACCTTACGACCCAGTTTTTCAAGATATTTTTATAATTTACATAATACTTCATCTCGATGAACACAAAACCATTATTATAATGAACACCTTTTATATCTGTTCTCTAAAATAAACAAAAAAGCTTGTCATAAAAGTGAAAATTCAACAGGAAGGAAACACTGCCTACAATGAAATGAAGATTAAACTTTTAACTACTTCTTTTTAAGAACTTAAACCAACTACCACACACCCATCCTCCCTTCCCAGCATGGTTAGGTTTCAAAGACCAGGTCTTTATGCAAAAATTGGAGTTATGTGGAAATGGAGAGGACCACATCAGATCACAAAATGAAGGGTGATTACATAACTGCCAAACCACTGAGAATTATGGCCCAGCCAAGTTGACCCATAACTATGACCATCACAGCCAGCAGTACTCTTCACCTCGCGCCTCAGTGCCAGATCTATGTTGTTAATGTGCAAAGTGGTTGAACAGTAGATTTTTCCCTGTTGTAAGTATGAAGTGTTGGATAGTAAGATGGTCGTTAAGTGAGGAGCAGGACTGTTTTGTTTGACCTTTTCGTATCTTACAGCTTTAGTATCAGGGAGAGGGTTTGGAGCTTTATTTGTCTTTTGTTTTTAAGCTTATCATCCAAGTAAAACATTCTGTTCCTATCACAGAAATAAGTTAGCCCCGCGTCATCAAAACATTGCGCCCTGTGTAAGCTTACCCGTGGCGGAGCCTAGGGAATTGGGTATTTGCAGTAGTTTGTAATAATTAATGAAGACAAGTCCCATGTGTAACTCAGTGTCCTTCAGGGCCCTGCCTGGGCTAAGTGGTTTCCCTCCCATATAGAGAGACAGGCACATGAGCTTGGTTAAGTGTTAAGCTGTCCCCCACCTCTGTTCTGTGAGTCCAGCT